TTTTCACATGGTCTTTTCCAATAACTGCTATGGATTTTCTTCTGTTCCTTTGCTACCAATCTTTTTGGAGGACATATGTGGAGGTGGGAACATTCTAATCCACACTCTTCTCAGTCTGTATCTAAAGACAGATCAATACAAGAATGGATGGGAAGCGAGAAGCCATGCTGACTAAGCTGATCACTTCTGTGATCAGTCACATTTTCTGTTACTTTCCTTACCAGAAAAAAATATCCCTTAAGATTGGCCTATTTCTATCACTTAATGTTGCGCTTCATAATAGCCAAGGACTATTTCTTGTCCTTTCCTATTCCCTCTCTAAACCATAATTTTTTGATAAAAAATCTGGACTGTGTGAGTGTAGACTGCAGTAATAACCCCTTATTCCAGTTGTAAAAATGTTTCCTGCCAGTGAACACTGGTTCAACCAGCCTGCAATGACAGAAAAATGGTCAGACTAAAATCACATAAAAGTTTTGTTCTCTGGAACTAATTTCTGCTGGTTAGATGCTATTAAAAATCACTCTGATATGAGTTAAAGAAATTAAGCTTAGGGGATGTTTATTCATAATTTAAAGTTAGTTAATAATAGAAAAGTAATATGGAGAGAAACTGACACACTCCATTTCCATTAAAGTAATTTAAATTGTGATTATAAACCCATAATTCATGTTAGTAAGAAACTAGAGCTTTTAAGGCCAGGTCTTGCACATTCAAGTATTTGTGTTTTAAGAAGAAATACAGACATGTAAATGTCATTCAAGATGTCAGATCCTTAAAATGCCACTTAAAAGGTCCTGGCAAGATCTTTCTTAGTGCTAATTACAAGACAGGATATGAAGCTAAATAATATCATTTGTGATAAGTCCTATGAAGACTCTCTCAGAATTTCTGGTACTTGTTTTTCTGCTATTTTTTCTGATACACTTTCCTGCTATTTGATATGCTATTGGTATCTCTTATTTTTTCCTCAGTTTTTAAAACTAACTTAGCATAATAAATGTTATTTTGCCTTTTCTCCTAATTAGATGTAATGTTTTACAAAATAGCTTTTAAAAGGCAATTACTTTCACATTTGCTTCTGTTCATTCAAGTATCATAAACAGCTAACACTGCATTTTAACACACAACACAAAACAAATATATTATTAGGGGAAAGTGTTGGACAAGGGCACACATTAATTCATTTCAATTAATGAGCTCTATCCTTTAATAATTGATGTCTAGCATTCCTCCTTACATATTTATAATTAATGCAGCTTCAACATAGCTGCAAATATGCAGTTAATAATTACAAATAAGAGCTTTATAAATCAAAAGAACTTTTTTGCATACCAGCAAAACTTTAATATTTTAACACATATTTTAAGATATAGATGGGCAAATAGATTTCTCTTTAGCATAACAAGTGTATAATCCCATTTTGTCTAGACAAAAACAGGGACAAGGTGAGAAAGCAAAGGTATCTAACTGTATTTATCTGATATCTAACTAATCTAACTGATAGCTAACAATGAGGTTTTATCTGCACTACTTTTCCTTGACCATGCCTTATGACCAGAAATGATACATCATTCAGTTAATGAGCTACAAATATCACTTTAGTCACATAGGAAAATGCTTTTCTGGAAGAAATTAAAATTATGGAAATCAAAGAAGGCAAAGGATCAAATACACTCAGCTGAAAGAACAAAGATGTTTGGAGCAAGGGTTTATAAAAATTAAATTTTCTAGCTTTTTTTTTCCAAGTTTACAGTCAAGAGAGTATATGCACTTTGAGGATCAAAAAATAGAAAAAGCCTGTCAGAAAATGCATTGTAAACTGATTTAATACAGCAACATCAGTGAAGATCTCTGTACATTCACCTTTTACACCAGATGTCCCTGTTGAACAGTGTGGAAACATACTTGTAACCCATTTTAACCAGTGTTTCCACAGTAATCAGAAGGGTCAGAGCTGAGATCAACAAAAGTAAACCTGCCCCTCCCTCCCTTCCTTATTTTAACATGCAGGTTTTTTAAATTTCCTGTGCAATTTATGCTTTCAAGAACAAAATTAAATACTTTGTGGTTTTCAACAAGTCTATAAAATAGTATAGATTAGATCAAAGCAGAAGCACCACAAGAAGCTGAATGTTTTTCTCCTTTGGGACAAAAGGAGGAAATAGGAGAGTGAAATGTTAAGAGGGAACAGACTGATATTTGAAGAAAATAATTTTCAAGAGAATTAACATCTAATGAAAGAACAGATGATTTCATGAAGGGAAAAAAAAAAAAAATAAAATAGCCCATAAACTCCAGACAAAAAACTAAGGCATGACCAAGTAAAGAGAGTCAAAAGCAATAAAAAAAATTTCAGACTTAGAGTAGAAGAATTGTGAAGTAAAAAAATATTCATATTTGTATTAAGCCTGAAACTAGATTGGAAATTAAAGAGGAAAAGGGGCGTCTTCTTTTATGAGAAACATTTGTATTTTATGAATACATAACATGGAATCAGTTTCAAAAGAAACAACACTGAAAATAAGTGCCAGAAGAAATGAAGTTCAACAGCTTGTTTTCTGAAGAATAGCACATCCTGAGACCTCCACTGACAAGGAGGGGTGCTTAATTTTCACGTTTGATGCTAACATGGAGGCAAACAGCTGCCTCAAAGTAGATTTTACCCTGCATGTTTACAGTGGTAAAAGTTTGGAGAGGACAATTGTTTACAATAAATGCACTTCATTTTCCAGCTGGAACCTCTTACTTGACAATCTTCTCCCATGATCCTGTATCTGCAGGAAGCAGCCTCTTTTGCACAGTCCCTGGTGACTAAGGTAGCAAAAAACAAGAGGAGAAGGGCAAGAAAAGATTAAAAGACGAGGACAGTGGGGATGAGGAGGCTGTGGACAAGATCTACCATTCATTCTTGGGGAAAAAGGGCTGTGCTGGAGGAAAGAGAGGCTCTTGACATTTGTAACAGATAAAATGCTTCCTTTTTCTTCATTTTTAAAGAAAATATGTGAAAATATAGCTCTAAAACAGGTTTGGGTGTCCACAGTGTCTGAATTTGAAGCTGTATTGCAAATAATAATTAATAAAACACAGGAAAATAATAAAGACTGATAAAAGATGGGGAGCAGCAACACCAAAAGTTAAAATCTATCTCTTTAAAAAATTAAAGAGATAGTTTCTGCAGTAACATTGATTTCTCCAGCAGTGATAACAGCTAAAGGGATAGAGAGTGCAATGTGTTGAGAAAGCAGGGCTTCAGGCACTGAGGTTATAAATACTGAATATGATGAAAGACAGTATTACATATTCCAACAATATTAACATCCACTGCTTGCAAGAAATCCATGAGGGAACCATAGAACTTAAAAACAAAGAGTTTAGAATTTGCTGTTGTAAATCTGTAGATGCCATGGAGAAAATAGCTAATACTATGAAGCAATATGTGGCTTTCCACACTCTGAATTTCGAAAAAGTTTACTTATGAGTACTTATTTCTACCTTTGAATTTGCAGAAATAATTTTTTCTGCCAACAATAGAAATCTTTCCTTGATATTTTCACAGAAAGAATAATTTAATTAGCTGTTTTAAGGCTTTTTCTTAAAAATATCAGGAAAATTAATGCTTTCCCTGACTCTGCTTTTCAGTTTCAAGCCTTTATTTGCTCTTCCACATTAATTTTTCCAAAGCAGATTTTCAGGATGCAAACCCAAAAGCCCCCTTTACATAAATTTAAAACCTGATGTTTTTGCATCTGCTAAAAGGTTGTATCGTTGGGGTTGGGGGTTTAGGGGTAGGGGGTTTTGTTTGGTTCACCTTTAAAAAAAAAAATAAATTGCATTTAAATGTATTAAGACCATTTTGGTGCTGTGCTGCATGCCTATACATATTTATAGAAAAAATTAGTCCAATCTCCCTCTACATTTAATATAATATCTCTCTGTTCATTTATAACATACACAGAGGCATTTTTAGGTTTAGAAAGAAATACTCATTGCTGAACAACATAATCTAAATGCCTAAAGCATCTGCTGTGCTGTGTGCATCCATTATTGGTATTTGATCAGGTGAAATTCTACAGCCTTACCATTTCAATGGGGAATGGGCTGAAAAGTTCAAAATATGCAATTGATGTGAAAGAAAAATGAGCATACTGGACATACATACTGTGGAGTACCTTGTAGACTTGATTTCATCCATTTCTGAATTTCATTCTAATGTAAATCAGGCAGGATTCGACTCAGATAATTGACAGTGTGGATGCTCATATGAATTAAAAATAAATTTTTTAAAAAGTGTTCCTCCCCATTTGCAACTCATTTTAAGATAACAGTAAATGTTTTCAGTTCAAAGAATTCAGTTGGAGTTCTGTGTTATTTATGATATGTTTTCCATTCTTAGTGTGATGCAATGCATTTTTATTGGATTTAGTACCTCAAGGTTTTGTAATGTTGTTGCAATACATCTTAAAAGTTCCCTGTCCCTTGACTTCATATTAATTCAAGCTCCATTTCCTCTTCAAATAATGCAGTTAAAGAATGCCTAAAAGTCACTTATTAAAATATATATTCATTTCAACCTGTTGAAAGTATGCTAAGTTCATAATTTGAGGTACCTTAGGGAAAGTAAATAACAAAATGGGTTTTTTTCTTTTACCTTATAAAATAATTAACTTAAAAACAAATTTTCCACAGTTTTTACAATTCTGACCAATTTTTACTCTCACAACAACACTATAATTCTGTTGAAGTATTAAAAAACTTATAGAGCTAAATAGAAAAATATACAAGATCACTGTAACATTAAAAGAACTTGGCAAAATCACTCACAATGCAGAACAATTTCCTCATGTGTATCTTATTCATATCATTAGCAACACTGATGGTGCATGAAGAAGTTATATACACATTTTAAAATTATATCAAAGCCCAAGACTGAAAATTCTCCTTGTGCTCCACTTACAGCTTAGGGAAAAAAATAAAATCAAATTACAAAACTGACTTACTTCCAATATGATCAGCACGTAGACACCTACTAAGATGATGGATGCAACAGTTACTTGTGCCCCTATATTTGCATGAAGGTACTGATGCTTCATGGAGAGAGGAACACTTCCAGACTCCTGCAGGAAAGCTTGAATGTTTATAGAGATGGTGCCTCTGGTGAAAGAAAAAGAAGTTTTGTTTATTCCTGGGATGAAATACCTTTTGTTTGCGCATTATTTTATATTGAGTACTTATCAATATACTCATTATATCTTTACATAAGCAAGCAGCACCTCAAACATCTTCAAACAAACTCCATCCTTCTAAAAAGTATTGTTTAGAAATTAACTCAAGTACAAACCAGTCTTGTAATTACTTTCAAAGAGCAACAAGTAGTCATCCTTTCCTGCCCTTCTGAAACATGCAGTGATGATTATTTTTAAAACATTATCTTAGTCAAATCTATGGAAATTACTCCTTCAATGCATCATTTTTCAGTCTCTTAGCCAACCTGTTTGGTATCTGAAAGGTTCTGGTTGTGATGATCTGCTGATTTCTTCTTGAACTTAAGGGCAGAGACCAGTTGTATACCACCTGCAAGAGAGTCATATTCAACAATATCAGCAGAACTCAGTGATAGTGATAGGTCTCTGATATAGGGTTTTATTCCTATTTTTCTTTCTTCTGACCATTTTTGTGGGTCAGGAATAAAATCAGCCTAAATCAATTCTCCCTAATTAGTTTTGTTATGGGTGCTCAGGTTTAATCAAACTAACTCATCCTCATACCTTCACTCAATCAATGAAGTGAAAGACACCTCCAGGATGTCCTCCAGAGGAGGGTGCCAAAACACATATTGCATTGAATATAGAGAACAAAATTTTAATGCAGGAAGCCCAGAGAAACCTTATAAAGGCAAAAGAAAATGCAACTTTAATTACAGTAATTTTTCTAATGCTGGAATTGAAACACTTTGCAGCAAGAAGAAGCATGGCCACTTAATCCACACAGTGGTGGTGGAAATAAATGATAAAACACATCTCAGAAAAAGTGAAAGAGAATTTAAAGACTATCACCTGCTGCTGGTGCCTCCTCCTTGATCCTGTGTCTTCACTCTGGCTGATTTGTACCATGATGTATTCCTCTGTTTGCTCATCAACAACTTGTGCCTCAAATGGGCCTCCTATGTCTAACTTCAACAGAGCAGAATCACGAAAGTCAGTCAGATTCATAGCTGTTAATAAAGTTGTTAAGGTGCAAATTTCTAGTAAAAATAGTATAGGCTGTACAAATTCCAGGAAAAAAAAATAAGTCAATTTATATTGAAAAAATATATTCTTCAGCTAAATTTCAGGAGTTTTGAAAAAAACAAAACCCATGTATACTTCCTCACCAAGTAGTACTGTTTTGACCAAGTTTCCTAATAAAACAAGAGTTACATGTTCAGAACAAATACATCTTCCCTAGTGACTTTTGGGATTACCAGTGCTTTCACCTGATGTATTGATGTTTCAAAATAGCATAGAGAAATACACAGAGAGACAGAGAAGTAAGCTCTTTGAGTACTTGTACTAATGAAAGGCTACACCATTATCTCAGCAATTCAAACATCACAGAACCTGTACTGGTGAAAACAGTGTAGAAGCTGCAGAGGATTTTGCCTGATGATTTGCTTTTTGGTCAAAGTTTTATTCACAATGTTACAAATATCCAAAATATTTTCAACCTCCTTTCAGCTGAAGTACTCACAGACTCTATCACACTCAGATGCCTCATCTGCTTATTTTTTCTTGAGATATCTCACATAAGGTGTGGTCAAACTACACTTCTAGTCTACTATAATTGAAAAATCAGCCAGCCACGATCCACAAATCCATTGGAAGTCTGGTTCTATTAGTCCCAATACATCTGGGGCTTTTTAAACCTAGTGTTGTAATAGTCCACTTCTGGCATGGTTGAAAAAGCATCCCTGTGTCTTGGTGGGTGGGGAAGGGAGGGGATGAGGAAAGCCCGAGATTTTAAACCCTTCAGTTTGTTTGTTACTATAACAGAGTAATATTGTAATTATTTTGCTCCTGTCTGTGACAGGTACAAAGCTAAGGTATCACCAACAAAACAAAACAAACAAAAAAAAAAAAAAAAAAAAAAAAAAGCTAACAAACAAAAATAACTCCTTAGTTTTACGCATACGTGTTCCATTGCAGTGACCCCCAGGGAAGATCATCCCTGTTAAGTCAGCGTCTAATGGGGAAAGATTTGGGAGATTATGAGGTCCTTCACCATCTAGAAAAGAGTAATCTCTTGCAGTAACCAAAAAAAAACCAAACAAAAACCTAGATCTGGTAGCAGGTGGGCAGCCAATGCATTCAAAGTAATATAAATGTCACCCTGATTAGCAAGGCAAGCTGAGCAAACACCACCAGTGACACTCACATGCCATTAATTAAAAAATTAAGCTCCCAAGCATCTATTTGCTTAAAGGAATCACACAGGAAAGGATTAAAAAAAGTAATCTCACATGTAACAAATCAGGAGACAAGTCCAGACCAAAGAATTTACACTCACAACCCTTAGCAAGCATAAACAGAAATGACAACAGTTCTCTTCTGTTTCTGAAAGTTTTAAATACAATTTGGCAACCCAGTTTTTCTGTGTCACTAGTTGATATATAATAGGAGTGTCAATAGGACCTATATCCATACCTTTAACTAGAGACATTAATTAAACCTTCTAAAAGGTCTGCTCACCTGAAGTCATTAACCTTACAATTTGGGACAACTTTTAATAGTCAGTTTTTTCACTAGGAGTGTAGCCACTTATGTCTTGAAAAGCTTCAGGTGCATATAATTATGGCAGCTTCCTTTTAAGCAATACTTTTAAAATAAAGCCTCTAATTACCTAGATGACACATTCAGGAGCTATTAGAAAAGATGTCCAAAATTAAACCTTATTTTCAAGAAGAGTGACTCCTTTCTTCTTTTCCTCTACAGATAAGGATACTTCTTCCATTCCATTCTGTGCACTTATAAAACCATTATAAAGAGCCATAGAAAAAAAAAAAAAAGTTCTCCTTTGATTGCAAGTGCAACAGAACATCATTCACCAGTCTGCATTGAGGCTGTTAAATCCCATTAGAGTTATCTTTTTCCAAACAATATTTATCTGTCATAATTCCATTGTTAGACTGCAGCAGATCACAGCCTTTATGAAAGGTGGAATCATAATAAACCAGAAGAAAACTTCAGACATGCTTCCATGAAAAAAGTATTATTTTTTTTTATCAAGCTGCACTTCAGAATATTTTTCTTCTGCCTTACCTTGTTTTTATATGTCCCTTAAATTGCCAGAATGTGATTTCCTCTAAATTTTAATCATTCAGATATGGAAAACTTTTGTGAAAACTCTCTTTTTACTTCTAATATTCCCTTTTATTCTGCAATTTAAGCATGCTTTTCCTTTCCTGAACTTTTATTTTGTAATGTGTCCCCCAGTGTGCCCCTTTAAAGCAAAAAAAGTCTCCCTGGGGAGGTTTTTACAGAGAGAGCTGATATTTTTTATTTCACTTCAGCTAAAGTGCTTCATTTTGATATAGTTCTATTCTTGAAATCGCATTATTGCTGTGAATTAGCCCGTCAAGGGATTTGGGTTTGTGTTTGCTTTGTGAAGCATTACACTGTGGCTGTCTGTATTTACACCTGGCACCAGAGCAGGTCTGCTGCTCCCAGCTGAACCAAGAGCTGTGATTCCTGATCCTGGTTTTCTGAAGAGGTTTTGAGGAGTATGTGGCAGTCACCTCATGTTAGTTTATTTTTATGTGGCTTATGTAGACAACATGATGGAATGGGATGCTGTGGCTGAACATTTAAACTGCTATTCATTCACCACAGTTCCTGCTCCTGTACTTTGGACATCTGCAGCTGATGGTTGCATCCCTAAAATCAGTGATGAAAGGGTGCTTGTAAGAAGGAATTTACGGCTTCATTTTAGACTACTACATGAAGATGAGAATAACTGCTCATGAGGAACATCCATTCTCTCTATTAACTATAAAGAGAGCCTAGGATGACTAACTCAGGAGTAGCTGAGTCAGTCCCCAAAATACTGAATCCCTGCTCTACCCTCCATCATATAATTATTTCAATATGTACAGAGGCAGTCAAAAAGCCCTGTTTGACAGAGATTCTCTGTTGTATTTGCACACAGATGGCTGACTTTTTGCTTTCTTTAATATCTATTTGTATATCCTATTCTGTATACTGTGAAATGGACCCTGAAAATGCTATGTCTATGGATTATTTTTCAGCAAGTTTCTGAGGTAGTTATACACCATTCATCCTGATTTATGACCAGTTCACTTATGCTAGTTTCTCTAAGATATCACCAATTTTGTCACCTTTTCCCTGGATCTTAGCATCCATTTTTGCATGTTGTCCTTAACTGGTGTTATTTCTGCATTAGTATTTGTGCTTTTCTTTATTTCCTATCCCTGTTCTCATCTCTGATGAGGATTTTTCTACATCATCCCTTCATAACATACCAAGTTAAACCACACACTTTTCTGTCCCTATTGGCTTCCCCGTCTGATGAACGCTCTATAAACTTTTTATTTTCCTCCTTTTTTGAGTGTGAGTAATCCAGATCCATTATTGTCTACACTGGATACATCCTTTCTCTCTGCTCCATCTCCATCAGTTTGAGAAGTTCTGTAACAAACTAATTTCTATGGCATTTCATCAATTGTGTCTTGAGATTCTGTTTCTTGGCTGCCTCTGCACATCATCCTGGTCTTCATCCATCTATTTAACAGCTTGAACATTGCCTGCAGGCCTAAATGCTTAGTACATTTCCAAAAACATCAAAAATAGAAACAATTTTTAAATGCTTTCTGCAAGGAAAAATTATGGAGGACAGTCTGCCAGTAGAGAACTAGAGTTACAAAATAAGAAAATATTCAAAGGGGGTAAAGAATTAAAGGGATTAGAGAGGTTTTGTAATTAATTACATTAATTTATGCTCCCTGGAGAAGAACCTTCAAGGAAGCTGAAAATTCTGCTAAAATATAACTATATTCTATGCCTCACAATCCTTCTTTCTATATATACACTTCTTGCTCAGGGAGTTGGAAATGTTGTTTTCCATGTCACTAATGGTCATGGCATGATTGCAAGTTTTCTAGTGACCTTTCCTTGCTCCATGATGAACAGTTGCACCACTAACACAAATTCATGAAGAAATCATTCAAACTCATACAACTTCAGCAAGGAATTTGATAATAAGGAGTCTTAAGCCTGCTCGTCCTAGAGACTCCTCATCCATATGTGGAATTGTTCTAAATAGTTCCACTGAATCCAAAGAAAAGAGAAATCTATCCTATGATTTAAAACTCAACATATTTTTACTGTTGAGATACATCTACTTTCTGAATTTGAGACCTTAATCCTGGACTGGAAGTGATAACATCTCTCATAGACAGAATGGAAATCCATCCATGAAAATGGCCCCTGTCTAGTCAATTTGATATCTCTGGTTTTGTCAGATTTGGAATAAGCAGATACACATTCAGGTGTGAATTCAGGTTATGTACTTTTATTGAGTTTTATTTTGAACATAAAGAGCAAGTGAGTAAGAAACTCTCTATGCTGGGTGCTGTGAAAATATTTAATTTTCAAAATGTCATCCTCTGCTCCAAAAATTTAACTGGGGAGATATCAAACACCTAAACAATCAGATAATCAGATCAGGACTGAAAGACTTCAAAACGTATTTACAAAAATGCAAGATCCTTGGCCAGACTCAGGAAGAATTCACAGTCCAGTCCCCAGGTAATTTCTGACAATCAGTCCAAAAAAGCAAAATGAAATTGCTTTGCTCACACTGATCTAACCTTTCCTCACCCATAACATGACTGGGTGCAAGAACAAATGTTGAGAGGGAAGAAAAGGTTGTTACTGAGGGAGAGAGTAAAGATGGGAACTCACACTTCAGCAAGGTAGGTGTGAGATCCATTGCACAGAAATGAGCTGAAGACTTACCATTTTTTGAAAAAGAAAATATTTCTACTATTGAGAAGTGTAGAAATGGCTATAACTGTATGAGATAGAGTGAAAGAAAGAAGGCACTGTATCAGGGAGACAGACATTTCTCAAAATTACAGGGAAATAGCATACAGTTTGATTGCATAACTCCTTAAAAGCATGATGAATCCCAATTACTTTTTCATTTCATTAAACCTAGTTCAAGTCAAAAAGTGAGTGTCTAGTTCTGCTCCAGATGTCTATTCCCTATTGCTGGACAAGAGCTTAAAATTTGCTTAGATCAGGGCAGTAGTTATTAGAAACAAAAGAATGAACACAAAGTAAATTTAGTACTTTAGAAAATTTTTCAAGTCTGAAAATGTATGTAAGTTGTGAAGAACAAGAATATTTCTCGTTCACTCTTTGATCACCCAGTTAATGGAGAGACATTTTCTGAATGTCTGAATGGCCAAAGAGTTAAGAAAAAAATAAGAATGTTCCTGTCTTAGAATAGATACATGCAATTAAACAAAGAAATGCTGGAATTTATTCAGACTCTACATTTCTTCGTCTATCATTTTAATAATTAAAGATGTTCTCTCCTTAACATACAGCCTTTGAACAAAAGATCTGAAAATGCTTCACATGTTTTACATCAAGAGTAGTGTTGAATCTTGCTTCCTGCAGAAAGGGTCCTCAAGTCAGGCTTCAGTATAAATCTACTTCTTTCTGGTATTGTAGAGTCACTGTTAGAATTCAAAAACTAATAAATCCTAAGAATTTATGTTCAAAGAGAGATGTTACCAATATTTTGAAACATTATACTAAAATCACTGAATTTATGTCTGGTGCCTATACGGAAATCAGTGTTAAAATAAAAACCCATCCAACCACACACAAAATTACAGACTCAGAGAGCTTCTATTAATTTACAGGAAGCAAGATGTTGTTTCCAGACTCTGCAGCCAGCCCACCTCAGTGTTACATGCCAGGTTTGTACCCATGGGAATGGACAAAGCCCTGGGAGATGCACATGGGCTAATAATAAAGAAGATAATGGGAAGAAAAACTGCCAGAATAAAACCAAACCAGAGATACAGGTATAGCAACACAGAGATCTCATCTGAAAAGAAGGTCACCTCCACACCAAATAATGAAAGCCTCTCCCAGCACCAAAGGAAGGTCCTGCCCCTAAGTAAACCTGAGATTTCAATAGCATGGCAGAAAAACAAAAAAAATCCGGGTAATGCCAGGATGACAACATGAAGTCCAAAAGTAATCACTCAATTTGTTTTTCAAAATTACTTTACACTTTCTTTTGACTTTTCTAGTGTATGGAGATACATTGCATATGTGAGCACACATGACAGTGTGCTTGGACATTTCTGGAAATAACAGAGCTGAGAGGTAGGAGTTAAAAAAATGTAGTGGTTAGTACCTATTTGACCCTTCTAAACAGCTTTTGAAGCAGAAGCAAGAGGTGAAGTGTGTTCATTCGCATATTTTGGCATCATATGAGCTAAGATACTTATTTTCCACCCAAAGTCTCATATTATAACCTCCAAGGGCTTTGTGGCAAGAACTACTTCAGCACAGCTGCAGACCTACCATTCAAACCTTATGGTCATTCAGAGAGAAGCATGTAGTGTCCATTGGAGTACTGCAGTCTGTCAGCCAGCATAAATTGCATCTTCAACGCTGCTGTCTGAACGGTTAACGGTACCTAGGCCTAGGCAAGGACTGGAATACTTTCTTCACTATGCAATAAAGTGGAAGACAACCACATGAACTTACTGCTGGGCAAATGGAGACTGACAGTGACAGTAAGAGGACATTCAGAGTGGTTGGTACCTTTTACAAAACTCTTTCGGAAATGCAATGTTTCTCCTTGACTCCTCTGCTTGAATTAGTACATCACCTAGAAAAAGAAGCTTGGCTTTGCTGGATTGCTTGCCTTTCACTTTTCCCCAGCTCAGTGACATCAGACAGCAGACAGAATATCTAGTTTTCAAGACAGATTACACAAACTAAAAAGCTTTAGCTTTGGGTTTGTCAAGTAAGAAATGGAAATGCTATATTCTGACTGTCTGACAGCTATTTGTCTCAAAGTGTCCTGACATGATAGGTAAAATGCGAAATACAGGAACACCTGTTTGTCTAAAATCCCAGTCCTAAATGCAGTTCTCTGTAACAAAGGGAATATTTGGTTGCACAGCTAATTTGTACAATGCAACAGCTATGGGTCTAACCCAAGTCTGGAAAGAGAGGAAATCCTCAATTTATGCTACAACAGTTGATTAAAACTTGAACTTAAAGACCTGCTTTCAGTTAATCCTCACTTGGCAGATAAGGCTGTGACAGCCATGGTGCTGTTCAACACCACACTACACCACCATAAGAACTTTCAACAACAGTTTCAAGGAGGACCAAAACACTGATATGAACAGGATATTGATGGGAGTTTACAGCTGAAGTTGTCATTTGTCCTACTAAAAGTCCATTTGCTTCCCTCCAAAAAGCAATCTCAACTTTTAATTATAAATTTCCCTAAAGCACTAATGTTTTCTTCCTCATTTACCCTACTAATTAGTCCATTATATAGTGTCATTATTGGTGACAGTGATAATGCTAATAATTAAATCTATTTTAAATGGACTCTCCCTGCCCAAAGGTATGGAACTGACCGTTATATAGAAGAACAAAGCATCTCAAAAATGAAAACCTATGCACCTTTTCAAAACAAGGGACCTTGCAGGAGCTTGTGAAATGTATCTATAGGTGCATCTTCTTTTAACACTAGTGGAATAAGAGTCAAGCAGACTTCAAACCAGACTGATTTAACTAGAAATACAGTGGGAAGAATAAATGTAACTAATTTGCAAAAGTTTTTGTTTGTTTACTAACTGAATGTTCAACCCTCAAAGACTTTTCACATTCAGATCTGTACTGACCTATGATGAATAATTTTTATTTGGGGTTGTTCTGTTTCTTGTTCTTCTAAACAGTTTATTGGCCCCAGACAGGTGCTATTCAGTACAACTTGGAGAGGGAGTGTTTGGGCCTGTGTCAAGGACACGTCGAAATGCAGCCAAGGTTCTGAGAACACCCTGTCCTCTCAGGGTACAAGACAGAAAATACACACCCTTTCAACTACTTTATCAATGAAACATCAGATCCCTTTTTTTCCAGTGGAAGAAGGATACAGAAGCTTTCCAGAGGTGATACAGCCAACATCTGCCAGGGCATACCTTGATCTGGATAAATGCCAAATAAAATCTAGGGCAAGGATAAAAAATAAATATTAATTAGTAACACAAAAACTGCAAATGACCTGCTAAACTTATCTCAAATACTTTAAAAAGACTCTTTCAAATTGCGCATTCAGTTGTGAGATTGTTTCAGTATTTTTAAGTATAATTCCACCACAGGTGAAAAGCACCTCTGGGGAACTTAATGAGGGTAAGTAATATTCCTTCAGTTAATTTACAGCCAAAGTCACATATTTTATGCACTTTTTTGAAATTTCTCTTAGGATAATCTTCAGGATCAGTCTGGAAAGCAGCACCCATACCTGAGGAAATGCAGAGTGCCATTTATTTTGTTCCTGGCACAGAAGCCCTGCTACCCCAAAAGGAATTCCTCACAGCCACTAAAAAAAACAAACTTCAACTTTTTTAAATTTTTCTCCAGACTTCCAGTTTAAAATTTTGCTGAATTTGAAGATTTTGCTAGCAGAGGGCAGCACTTTGGCCACCTGAAGGAGATGCCAACCTCCCATCACCTTCTGCCTTCCACACTGTGAAGTGCTGTCATTGCTGCAGCATCCTCCCAAGCACAGCTTTCCCTGTGAGCATTCCTCAGGTGTCAGGATCAAAAGATCCATCCTAAATTCAACAAGCATCCTTAAGGGACCTACAAATTTGGGCTTTGCTTCTTCCTCCAAATCAACAGGCTACCCACCCACATTGTCCTGAGAGGTGACTAGTGCACCAAATAGGATTATGATTAGGCATGAAGCCCTGCACAGTACTGTCAGTTTTTGCCTCAAGACATTTTCTGTGTGCTAAGAGAAAATATCATCTCTCATTTTGAATTAATTCTAAAGAAATGGGGGTTGGGGGAAGACTACAAATTCAATACTTACAGAGCAGACAACTACGAATATAAAGAGGCCTGAAACTTTCAGGAATTTTAGACAGCATCTGAAACACAGGGAAACACATATTTACTATTGGCTAGTTTAAGAACAACCTTTTCTATTCTCTTAACAGCTCTGACATTTCAGAAACATCATGGTAAGCACTTATGGGTGATAGTACATCACATCAGAGTACAGACACCACAAAGCAAGGTCAACAAGGGCTTGGGAAGCCTTGGTGACCATCAGAGCTCCTGCACCAGCTCTGCTGCCAGACGGATCTCAGTGCACAGGAAGGAGGATTTGCCCCTTGGAAAATCTAATGGAAGGCTGCAGAATGAGCTGGTGCTGGATCCTGGAACCACTTGTCCACTACTGCTGCCAGCCCCTGGCAGACCCTAATCTCCCACAGCTGATTTTGTCTCTCCCAGGGAGGCAAAGGAGCATTGCTATCACAGGGAGGTGGCACGGCTGTGCTGAAAACACAGGTTGTTATACAGACAAATGGTGTCATCAGCGACTTCCTCAAAACTGGACTTATAATACACACCCTGGAAGGTATTAGAAAATGCAGTTTGAAGACAAGAACAAGCTTTAAGAATCTTCTGGGTTTAACAGTATCTTTTAAAATCAAATATACCTCATGAGCATAAATCTACTAACAAAACTGATTTTTTTTCCCATGGCAAACCTGTGCCCATTGAAGGAATGCCCTGTTCCAGAAATGAGATGCCACAAAATATTCTGAATTGTCCAAGCTTACTAGTGAGTGGGTTAGGCAAGAACAACTCCAAATTAAAATGTAGGTGTTGAAAATGCATGGTCTTGAGAAAGAAATCTTAAGATTTAACATTTTAAATTACCATTTTTTAATCTTACTCAAAAGACAACTCAACTAAAAATTTTCTGACTGCCCATTAATATGTTATACTGATGCCTCAATTTACAGAAGCCTTTATGTAGGTTTGACCTCATTACATATTTTCATTTTGAAAGCATCAATATTTTTATTTTTTTTTTTAAGTAAACATTCAAACCATGTTTCTCTGACAGAATGACAAATGCAGGGCTTGATTTAAACCTGATGACAAGTATGAAGGAAAACATTTCAAGTTACCAGGATAATTAATTAGTTGAAAAACAAAGAGTGCAATGAAAAGCTGCATTGACAGATGCTACAGGACAAAATATTAAACCAGAATAGTCTGAAGAATATTAGAAATAATTTTTAATCACAGTGGAAAAAAGTCCCTAAATCAATTCATTGACAAAAAGCAACAGAAATTACTATAGACCCATTTTTCAAAAACATTGTTTTCCAAAGTTTCCCCCCCTCTAGAATTTTCCAAATAGCAGCTAATAAAAACCAGCAGCTAATAAATATGTGTTGCCACAAACTGGTACAAAGGGGCTAAAGTCCCCTATTTAATACAAATGGTAACAACTTTACCCAAACTTTGCACAGCGTGAAAAATCTAGAGAAGGAAGAGGAAGAAGAGAAGGAAGCCAGTTAGGTGGTTTCTTCCAGAAATTCCAAGTAGCCTTGATCTATGGAAAAGTAAAATGGCAGAGAGAGGAAGAAAGTAACACAGGCATGAAAAGAAAGGAATGATGACACAAGCCATTATCAGGACTTCATCACTGAGAATGACTTTTGGTATTACAGGATTTATGGAAAATATTTAGTGACAGTTTAGTCATAGATCCTCTATCCTGCTGGTCAATTCTGCCCATTTTTACATTACAGTTTCCTTCTGGATTTTTGAGAATTTATTATGTTATGAATTAATAAACTGTAATCCAGACTGGTTTAATTTTTATGTATTTTATATTTTTTGTTTGCACTTTGGACTTTTAATTTATAATAATAAAGTTGTTATTTAAAAACCCTCTATTTTAAGACACAAGTGAAATAAAATGTTAATTAAGTATTTATAAATTAATAACCACTTGTTTATAAATAACAGAAACTCATCCAAAGGAGCTGGCAAGGTGTAATAAACCAAGGTTTCGGAAACGGTTTTAATAAATATAGAATTTAGAAGGGTTTATTCCTCCTGTCTGTTTGTTTTCACAACATTTTGTATTAGGGAAGCAGCATTTTTAACAGCTTACATTTTAGACGTGATCAGCCTTGGACTCACCCGTGGTTTGCAATCTGTCTCTTCCTACAGTGCTAATCTGGCACAGTGATGCAAGTACAAGCCCTGTGCCAAATCCTATGCTGATATATGCCTCCAGTACAATCCTATCTGACTTCAGCTGGAAATGCAGGCAGCATAAATCTATGAAGAATTTCACCCCCTCTTCTAAGCCAAATGATTTTTAATCTGATCTGGATATGGTGTTGGGCAGTTTAGCATCATTTGTTATTTCAGCAGTGCTATGCTGATTTACAACAGCCAAGGAGTTGATCCCATATGTACACCTTGCACTATAGCAGTGAAAATATTTCAAGGGAACTTCTGCCAGAAAAACTTGCCCCTCCCCAGATTATAAACCTATGCTGTACTGGCAACAATGGATTTCACACTCACAATTGATAACTTTGTTCCATCAAATAGCAGGGAAATCTAACACAAATGTGAAGAAAAGCACCTGCCAAACTTCTTTGCATGTGCTCACATTGCATTAATTGCAGTCATTGGAAGACTCCTGCTCTTTATTCAGCAGCAGAGTGGGAGAGCACAAAACCGTATGCACAATGAGAAGAAAACAATTGTGAAGTGATGAGCTAAAACAACATAAAGATTGGGAAAAGATGCCCTGACATTCCACTGGAAAGGCACAGCAGATCAAAAAGGAGATGTGGACCTGCAGTGCTGAGCTCCATGAAAACCCTGCAGAGCTATCTACAGATGTCAAAACAAACTAGAAAAAACATTGAACCACTGGAAGGGACAGAGGGAATTAGTATCCAAGATTAAAGGTTTTGCTAGTTAAATACCCAGCAAAAAATATCCCAAGAAAATTTGAAGTTATGCTCTTTACATATTGCAATCTTTTAATATATTGACAGGTTCAATTTCCTCCATGCCCTAAATGATGTAAAAGACTACTTTGGGGTAAAGAGTGAAATGTATTAATGTTGTCCAAGATGGAAAAATGCTCAGTTATATTTTGCTTTGTGTATATGTGAAAAGCTACTTAATGACTACAGAAGAACTTTTACACATATATTTTTATTAAAGTGAAGCAACAAAACACTGAAGAAAAAAATGATGTGGAATCAACCACAGGGCTTTTAAAAAATTATTTCAAAGAAATGTTAAAAGCAGTATAGAAGGTATTTAATTACAAATTTAGAATAGGTTCTATGATTGATTCTTCTTAGAAGAAGGGGCTATTGATCATTACGGAGTCTGTAATTAATTTCAAACTAGATGCAGTCTAAATATGGAATCCTATTCTATTAATTTGCATCAAATAATTTTCTAGATATCTATGCATAAAAACAAATGCATGCAGAAATTAAAAAAAAAAAGTTTGAATTCAGACCTCATTTTTGATAAATTGAACTTGACATGAAGGTTGTCCAAGATTTCATATTTCTCAGAAGAAGCAGATCTGGGAAAACTTGTCATTTCACTTTCCAGTTGAAACCTTTGCTCAAATTCTGCAGAGCTGTTGTCCCATGAATCATCATCTGTGGTAAAATCTGGATTATGAAGAGCCATACACTGCAACCTGTCACACATTTTCAGTAAACATAATAAAACAAAACAGTGTTTTATTTCAACAGGTAGTAGATGCAACTGACCTTGCAGAACCTTACATTCACTCTGAGAGATTTTTATGGAAAATTTCATAGAAAGAGATTTATTCAGGACAGACCAAGCTCCCCTTGGTGACACATCTGGGTAGACTGGGGAGCAAGAGCAAAGACCCCATGACATTTATGTGCACCTGAAAGTACCAGTTCTCTGATACACCAGGCAGATGTATTTCAGGATTTGGTGTGTAAGCTCCATTATCAGGACATTCCCTATGGTTCTGCTCTGTCTTTCAGTGCACTTTATGTAACAGCACATGAAGAAAATAAGAGCACAGAACCTGCCCCTGTTTATGCTTAGGGCTCTCTAATCACCCTGACCTCACATTGTACATCCTTCCCTTTTTTCAGCCCCTTCTCTGCTACCAAGATCCTCCAGAGTAATTCCCTGCTTACAGCCCCTGCTATTCACTTTATTTCCCAGCAGGTTTGGTGTTAGGATATAAGAACCACATGCAGTTAAGTAGAAGAGAACTTAGGATAAGAATATTTTGAGAAAAATGAAAGTAACTTACCCATCTTCCTCTGAGGAAACCTTCAGTAGTGGTGTCTTCTCTGTAAAAACAGTGTTTTTTGATCTTGAGCTGAATAATTTTGAAAAATTGAAGTGATATCTTTGGATGGAGAAAAAAAAACAGAATAGTAAGTCTGCAGTAAAGTTATTCACTACAGACCTACAGATATTTTTTTACAAGTCCATCTAATTAGTTAAATATTCTTTAAGAATGGTGTTGACCTAAATTAGGGTTTTCATTCAGTAAGTTTGAACTAGTCATGGTATTTATTTCCTTATACTCACAGAGGACTCATTCATGTAAGTTTACACTAGCATACTTCATAAAATATGAGATAATAGAAAAACTTATTTCCCATAAATGTTATTTGAGACATGGATCACCATCTACAAATCTCTAAATCAAATCTCTACAGCAACCTTGGTACTCTTGGTATTAGGGAAGAAAATCTGAATACACATACTTCATTTCTACAGCACAATCCCTTCCAAATGGTTTCTGTCAAATGTTGGCCCTGGTGTTGCAGATAATTAAACAGTGTAAGCTACTTCTTGCCATATTGAAGTTTAGCATTGTGAAGGAGCTTTTTGATGAAGTATAAATGCCCAAACTTAAGAAGCAGCTGAAGACAATCAATCACAACCACAGAGGTCTGGCTTTGGGGCAGACTTCTGGCAGAGACTAAATAATTGAGCCATTCTAGAACATCTTCCCATGACCAGGCTCTTTCAGAGACATTTCCTATCAAAATCAACATTATTCAGGTGCACTCAGATTTATTCCATTCAAAACTGTAGCCTTCTCTGAGACCAGAAAGTCTCAAAGAAATACGCTAGACATACAGTCAAAATGCAGATCTCAATACATCCAGAGGAAACCCACTCAGAGGAAACCAAAAATTTCTTCCACTATTGCTGGACTGTGAGGGGAAAGAAATTATAAAATCATAGACTTCTAAATAAATACACAACAGTGACTAGTTATTCAGTCTTCTAAATATAAGGACAGCTCAAAAAGAAGGATTTGCATATTTGACTTTACAACACGATGGAAGACAGGGAAGTTTCTTGCAATTTGTAGAGCTGTGCCTCAACTTTGACTTTGTAAAATTAAAACCTCCCGGTACTGCTTTGGCCTTTGTTCAGTAGTGTTTTCAGTCAGAAGATGTGCTAGATGCAGAGCACTTGGATATGGTTATTTCAGCCTTGAATGGCTGCAATGCTCATTCAAACTCTGCTGTAAGTCACATATTTTCAGTCTCGATTGAAGACGGTGAAAGAATTAGAGTGATTCAATTACCCAGTACCTCATGTCAAATGTTGGGTAGATTACAATTCAGGTACCACACTGCACTGACATTTCATCCTTGAAGAGGTGATTACATAATCTGTAGCTATCAAAGTGCTTCCTTTTTTAAGCAGGAGAATATCATCCACACAGAAGGAAGTCTAAGTGGACAAACTTAGACTGTTATTTTGAAGGAAGTACTCTTCTAATCTCATCATGGCTTTCAATATAAAAGGCTACCTAGAGCTTTTACAAAATGGAATCCATAGGGATAGCAAGAACACTGTCAGGACTTTAAATGTGTGATCACAAAGCATTGCTGATATACTTCTGGCTAATCCCAACATCCCACTATACTCAAAGTCTGCATCCAAATGGGGCAATTTTTATAACTATTCTGATGGTGGACCTTGAATGTGTGAGTTCAGAAATTTATGAATTTATGATATTTATGAAATTTATGAAAAGACCACTTACTGTTTCTACTTTTAAACACAGCAATGTCACTTATTTCACAGGAAAAAAGGCTTCAAATGATACATAATATATGCTGTTCTGATCTTATCTCACCAATTCTAATTGTTGGGGGTTGACACCAACATTGCTTTATGGTACACAGGCATATGTAAATCCCCTAACAATCCACACTTCAGCAGCTCTTCACCACTACTGTGAATAACCAGTTTGCAAAAAGTGCTGAAGGGCAAAGCAACCACAGGAATGGCAACAAGAAAAGGAGTATAAAGATCAGGTGGACAGTGGCTTAAGTAGCAGAACTTGAGCTGAAGAATCCAGAACGCTAATTAAAGACATCACCTTCACTTAGATATCATTTTCACTTTCTTCTTACACTTTGTTATCCCCACTTGCTGGTATAGGTCGTGTCACTTTTAAATGGATCTACGGAACTGAACAGATGGCCAAGAACGACAAAGACAGTAAAAGAGGGAAAGGTCTTCAGATAAAGTAAAAACAATTAGTACATGACAACAATTTGCAGAGAATAAAAACATATGGACAAGAATAAGCAGCAGGAAACAGCCAGGCTTGACAAAACAAAAATAATTAGAGAAAAAGCAGAAGAGCTTCCACTCCCTCATGATGTGATTACTCTAATTAGAGAATGAGAGTAATATAAACAATAAAGCTAATTAGGGCATAAAGGACTCTTGAAGGCTGAATGCTCTAGAAAGAAAAGTTGTGAAAATATAATTTTAAAAAATTGCACAGATTATAAAAATGAAAGTCATCCTTGAATAGAGAGCCTAGCACAAACCCCTCTGTGCCCCTCATACCTCTGCAGAGATGCTGGAGGCGCAATTTGATCATCCACTTAATCCACACATAAAAGATCATCTGCAATCAAAACCTAGGAAGGCCCAAAGACCCCCTGCTGATAGAGGAAGAAGTCTGCAGTGCTCAAAAACCATCTTAGCATAATTCTTAGTGTTCCTCAACCCTGCAAGCAGCTGGTAATTGGGACGCTGTGTAAATAGGAAACAAATCAAAATGTAACACATTTCAAAACCAGGGGTCAGGTCGCACTTTGAATATTTCTTCCTGAACAAATAGCTAGAAACTTTGGTTATATCCATATGCTAGAATGGAGTGAAATCCACCTCTGCTGAGCAATTCAGCAACATTACCAAGAGGCTAATCACCAGTTCAGCTCATTAACCAGTTGTGGGTAGGCCTGTTCACAGGATGAAAAGACCACTCTAGATTTGTAGGCAAGGATCTGGTAAGCTGGACACCACTTGTGTTCATGGTTCTTCTTTCACAGTTCTGACTCAAAAATCATTAGCATTTTCTACATCAAATATGTGAACCATAGAATAGTTTGAGTTGGTCAAACTGGCCCTCTGGAGAGGCACAGCAAGAGCAGGAGATGAAAGGAAGAGATGTGGGAGACTCCTGTTGCTCCCACTGATGGGTTGATGACTCCTCAGACATTAGTCAGAGTTGGTGGCTGATGAGGTCTGCGTCCCATTACCTGCAGGTGATACCTTCCTGCCGTCAAGCCCTAGACCTGCACTCTGACCACATTTGCAGGCATCTCCTATTGGTGTTTACACCTGAAATTTTAAACAAAAGGAAAAGGAAGACTTTGTGGTGGGCACTGATGTTCAGCTATAAGCAACATTTCAATCCCAAATGCACCACAGCAAAGGACACCAAAAGAAATAAACATCCTACAAGAGCCTGACAAAATAAAAGACCATGCTCATCCTAGTTAGGCTACAAACACCTAAAATAATCACTAGATCTGACTGGAACCTATTACTTAGCCCTGTATTGAAAAGATTAATCATGGTACACAATGTATTGCTTTCATTCCTTGTAATAAAAAAAGATACATTTTAACTATCAGATAATATAATCCTTTATCTCCCATATGTTATGCCATGCACACAACTATTATTTGGGGAGCTATTTCTATGAAAACAGAAAGCAATAATTCTCACTTTAATGGGAAAGATTTGGTCGGAATTGAAGAAGACGTGAATATGGAAGCATATATATTATGTAAGAACATCAAAAGTTTTTACCATAACTTATTAAAAACTTCACTATATAAAAAATTAAAAGCAGAATCTCTTCAGGGGAAAAAAGCATTAGGGTGCTTCCCTGAATCAGTAATCTAATTCTAAACTAGTAACTAAAACTGTTATAAGCATCAGGTTGCCTCTTTAAAAGCTCAAGAATAGTACTGAGCCAGGAGTTTATAACAAATACAACTACTAAGCAAAGTTTCCTAGGAGAGAAGTCCAGAGTAAAAATATGAGACATAATTAATCATGAAGGAGACTAGTCACAACAACATTATTTTAATTTATCTTTACTACATTCTTTTAGAATAAAGTCTAATTTCTTCATTTTCCCTAAATAAAAAACATTTATACAAATCATATGTACTGAACTAATTATTCTTACCATAACTGTAAAAACAAAACAAAAACCACAAAGAAAGAAATCCCCAGACCAGCTTTTGATTGCACTTAAAACACATTCTTCCACCAAGTTGGTATTTGTGAGTTTTCTGATAAAGTCCACATTTTGGGGAACAGTTATGTGGTACAAACTGTGCTGACCAACATCAGAGCATTCAGCTCTTAAATCTTTACTGTGCACTAAGCAGCTGTATGCATACGTCTGACAACTTTGTCATATACATGTGCCCACACAAAGACACAATCCTCTGTGATGATTTCTCCTCGGCAGTAGCTCACCATGGGGAAATTGTTATGACTACTCATCACAAATAAAGTGTGGCACCATCACAAATCAAGTGTGGCAGCTGATACACTGAGTCAAGAGAAGGATCAAAGACTCCAGAGCTCATATCTTGAAACAGTTTCCAGGTATTTCCTGATGACCTCTTTATGTAGCTTCACCAAATCATCAAATAACCTCCAGACCCTTTAAACCCAAATCACACTAAGATGTCAGAAAAAATGAGCAATGAAAGCATTATTTAATACAGACTCATTTTCTTTTTTACTTTTCTAATTTTCTATAAGACAGGACTGTACAGGATCCTGCAGAGGGATCCCCAGAGAGGGATCCTGAAGGGCTGGCACTGCCTGATAGCATTAATCTGTGAGAGGAACAGCTAACTGGAAGGTCTCATTTTGAAAGACATTGAGGTACTGGAGTGTGTCCAAACAGTAAATAAGGTGGTGAAGGGTCTGGAGCAGCTAAGAGAACTGGGGTTGTTTAGTCCAGAGTAAAGGAGAAGAAAAGGTCAGGGAAGACCTTATCTCTCCCTGCCTGAAGGGAGGTTGTAGTGAAGTGGGCATTGGTCTCTTCTC